GTTCATCTCTTTCTATCCAGTCTGAGCTGCTGTGTTTCCCGAGTATTGTACAGTCAGTATATTGAACCCAGCCATCCAGATGTTTATATCACTTAGTCTATGCATGTTCCACTCTGAGAGATTACAGAAATGGATTTATAATTTCAAATTGTTTGCGTTTTTTTCTATAACCCCTATAATAACCGGACACCCAGGCTAGAGTTACCCATGTCTATAGGACATTAAACATATGCCAAGTTCTCCTTGATAATAACAGCTTACAGCAAACGGATATTGTATTACTTTGTATTTGTTTCTCTCTCTCTCACACATTCTATCTTTCAGAGGTTCATTACCTTTTTATCTGCACTGCACTCTGCACCAGTTCCAGCCATCCGAATTGCTACTGGAACTGCTGCCCACGTTTAGAATAGAATGTATGTGACCTTGAAATCTTTACAATAGGCCCAATGCCCCCAAAAAGTATAGTGTAGATACCCACGATGTTACATTCATCAAAATAAAAATAAACTAAACCAGATGTTAACTGTATACTCATGTCACATAATCAGCCGTGCCTATAAATACATTATTTAATGCCTTATCTCTACCGTATTAAATCTGTGGTAATTCCACTTTGATGTTCCCCTTTAAACTGCTGTCTGTTTAAGAAATTTGTTAAAATTAAAGACTGATTTCAGTTGGTATTGCCACCAATGTTGTGGCAGAAATGTTGTTGGTTTTTTTATATTCTGGATTTACCGTTTTCTCTCCTCTCCAGATGTGTTGTAACTGTGAGACAATGTTGTAAAGAGATCGTCAGAGCTGCTAGAGAGATCTTCTAATCCAGGAAACGTGACCTAGTTCTTAGCAAGCTAAAGACATATATTTTAAATGTTTTTTATTAAGTGCCTCATGTGAGATTAAAAAAAAAAAAAAAAATCTAACTTTTTTGTTGTTTGTGTCATTTGAGGTTCGGTACAGTACCTGCGAAGTTATTGGTTGTTAAACCGATGCTGTGTATCTTTGGTAAAGATATTTTAATTGTGTGGTGTGGTTAGCAGCGGCGCTTCAAATGCAAACTGAAAGACAATGAGTGCTGTATATTCAGTATATCAATAAATACTCTACTTGGCAACACTGAATTAGTGTATCAGGTGCATCCAGTAAATGTAGGCGTTCTCACTCTTAAAGGGACACTATAGTCACCCAGACCACTTCAGCTCAAAGAAGTGGTCTGGATGCCAGGTTCCTCCGGTTTTAACCCTTCACATGTAAACAAAGCAGTGTCAGAGGAACGGCTATGTTTACATAGCAAGGATAATCCAACCTCTAGTGGCTGTCTTCCTGACAGCTGCTAGAGGCGCTTTTGCAACGCTGGATGCGAAATTCACATCCAGCGTGCAGAATGTCCATAGGAAAGCATTTAGAAATGCTTTCCTACGGACTGTTAGAATGTGCGCGCGGCTCGTGCCGCGCATGCTCATTCCGCTCCACTCTGGAGCTGAAGTCGGACGGGGAGGAGAGGTCACCAGCGCCGAGGGAGCCCGATGCTGGATTAAGGTAAGTGGCTGAAGGGGTTTTAACCCCTTCAGCGCCACGGGAGGGGGACCCTGAGTGCGAGGTCCCCCCAAACGGGTTTGTTTTCCTGACACTATAGTGATCCTTTAAAGTTAACTTGGGAGCTTTTGCCTACAGCCCCAAGGACATTTGTTTTTATTCCTGTCTATATTTTAGTATTGAAAAATGAGGAATGACCGGACAAGGCTGCAAGATGTCCACTTTACTGCTGCTCTATGTCATCAATTCATGAGAACGGAGATCCTGGTCACCCCTGTATAGGCCACACAACAGTATATTCTACCCACCAAGACTCGCTGTGTGCTGCTCCCTTTCAGTTGGTGTATGTAAATTGTACAATAGGCACTTAACACCAGCATGGTAGATAATGTTAAAATGACTATCAAAAGAGCAGACCCATGTCAATAAAGTTTGGTATACCAGTTTTTAAATAGACAGTCTAAGCACCAAAAGAATGTTGGCTTAATGAAGCAGTTTTGGTGTATAGATTCAGATTCGACTTTGTCATTGTACCATGCACAAACAAGGACAATGAAACACAGACTCAGATTCAACCTTGTCATTTTACCATGGACAGACAAGGATGATTAAATCATTCCCCTGCAGTCTCACTGCTCAATTCTGACATTTAGGATGAGTTAAATCACCTTGTATATGCAGCCCTAGCCACACCTCCCCTGGCTGCAGCTCACACAGCCTCTATACACACTTCCTGGGAAAAAGTCTACATTTTTTAAGCTTTCCTTATTGCGCGGTCTGTTTAATTGAGAATTTATTTTCTACTGATCTGTTAATAGCCTGCAACAGCCTCCGATTTGTGATTAAATTAAATGAGCAGGAGATTCTAACTTCTAACGTAAACACACTGTGTTGTCAGATCTGATTGAAAATGAAACAACTTTTGTGGCTAGGGCTGCAACAGAAACAAACGTTAATGAACGCCTAAATGGCAGAGAATCAAGCCGTGATAATGCAGCGCCATGATCTATAAACTAAAAATGCTTCAGTAAAGGGAGACTACAGCTTAATGTAGTTGTTCTGGTGAGTATACTGCAGGCATTTTCATGCAAACACTGCCTTTCCAGAGAAAAGGCAGTGTTTACATTGCCCCCTAGGGACACTTCCAGTGCATGGAGACTCTGAACTTTCCTCATCTGTGAGGAGGTACTGATTGGCCAGGGCTGTATTTGGCCCCACCCCCATCCTGTCTTTTTGTCGATTTCAGACAATCCAATGCTATCCAATAGGGAAGGCATTTGATTGGCTGAAATCATAAATTCTGATGTCAGCAAGGAGGCAGATCGGGGGTGGGACCAGAGCCAGCGGACTGGTGCGACACTGGAAATAAGGTAAGTTTTATTACCTTTTAAGGGGAGTGAGGGGTGGGGGCAAGTCATGTAAATGTGTTCCTTACCCTATAGTGTTCCTTTAAGCTAAAGTTGTTTTATTGCTTAGTGTCCCTTTTAAAGCAACACTGAATGGCAAGGACACTTTAATGAAATCTTTATTCTCTGGAGATTATTCACTACATTACAAACTGCAGTGAACTGAAAACCATGTTTCTAAATCAGCAAAGCTTTGACTATAGCAGTTGGAGATTTTCCTCCCCACCAATTGCCTAATTTTCCAGTTTGGATTTTAAGTCACTCCAGTGCAGTTCAGGAAATAAACCTCTGTTTTGGTGAAACAGTTGACACGTGTATAGCTTAACCCCTTAAGGACACATGACATGTGTGACATATCATGATTCCCTTTTATTCCAGAAGTTTGGTCCTTAAGGGGTTAAAAGACGCATTTAGCCAAGGTTGTGTCTGCTTCTATGAATACAGACCCACAAATGAATGTAGCAGTTATATTTGCAACAGCACACCCCAAAATGCTGTGTACGGCATACACAAGCAAATTTGTACTTAGCTGCCACGGAGGCCGACTTTATAGTTCTGGGTATTCAGTCCCAGAGACAGATGTGTAAATTTTAACTGTGAAATGTTTGTAGCCATTTGGCTGACACAATTTGGAGCTCTATAAAAGGAGGCTTATAGTTATAATAGCGTCCCTTTTAATAAAAACACACCGAAACGTGTTATGAAAATTCTTCTCATTTGTAAACAAATTTTACAAAGAGCGTTTAATTAGCACCGAATGGAAATGAACATCACACGTAAAGCAGACAGGGAAGAAACACTTACTCATATGTCCTTGTGGATGCCTACAGCTTCCTAATTAACACATACAGTACGCACAGCGCATCACACATACATATTTTGGCATCAACTTGTATTTTGTGATTAATGAGGAATGGATACAAAAAAAAGATACCTTGTAGGAAATGCAAGGCTAACTAGATTACATTATCCAAATTTGCAGAACATAGGTTTGCTTTAAAAATGTATTTTTAAAATGTAACTTAAAGGAACACTATAGTCACCTAAATTACTTTAGCTAAATAAAGCAGTTTTAGTGTATAGATCATTCCCCTTCAATTTCACTGCTCAATTCACTGCCATTTAGGAGTTAAATCACGTTGTTTCTGTTTATGCAGCCCTAGCCACACCTCCCCTGGCTATGATTGACAGAGCCTGCATGAAAAAAAAAAAAAAAAACTGGTTTCACTTTCAAACAGATGTCATTTACCTTAAATAGTTGTATCTCAATCTCTAAATTGAACTTTAATCACATACAGGAGGCTCTTGCAGGGTCTAGCAAGCTATTAACATAGCAGGGGATAAGAAAATCTTAATTAAACAGAACTTGCAATAAAGAAAGCCTAAATAGGGCTCTCTTTACAGGAAGTGTTTATGGAAGGCTGTGCAAGTCACATGCAGGGAGGTGTGACTAGGGTTCATAAACAAAGGGATTTAACTCCTAAATGGCAGAGGATTGAGCAGTGAGGCTGCAGGGGCATGTTCTATACACCAAAACTGCTTCATTAAGCTAAAGTTGTTCAGGTGACTATAGTGTCCCTTTAATATGATGGTTGTAATAGCCTTAACAGAATGCTGATATTGGCTGTGTGAAATGTGCATGCATACAGGCAAGCATACTTATGATTGGTGCATGTTGGTAATAAACGGTCATCATTATTAACTGTACAGTTGCATGCTTTGCATGTACCCTAATTCTATAGCCCTAACTACATTTACTGGGTGTGGGCCAAAAAAAAAGAAACACTTTTCTTGGACCTGGACCCTATGTTCAGAAGTTTTTCTATTGCTGATGTCCATCTGTCTAACTTTCAAGACAAGGATGCCTCTAGAAGATAGACTGGAAGATGGCCAGTTTATCAAAGCAGCCTTTCATTTCAGGTGTGATGAATTTGTTGATATGGTCCTGCTTGATGAAAAGCCAGAGCTATAATCCCGGCCTTGTTTCCATGCATCTAAATCCAAGCTGGCTTCTTCTAGCCATGTCTGTCTTTTACAGGTAAAGTGAGTTTCTAAACACAAGAACCCTGTATTTCAGTTTCCCAACAGTTGTGTGTTTTTCATCCTCTACATATCTTAGAAGTCACCCAGGACCTCCACACCTTTAATGTTATTCAACTCCATCCAAATTCAAATGGAGATCCAGCTCCAACTTTTGTAAAAAAAACAAAAAACATCTGTCTCTGCCTCAAAACCTGCATACGGGGTTGTGGAGGGAAGCTGCAATTCTTTCATGGAGACCCAAGACTTGTCCAACTCTAACCTTTGTTTCAAGGGCACTATCTGTTCTGAATATTGACTCTTGATGTCCCAATCTTTATCAGATCATTCTCATTGGTCTTGATCGAGTCTATTTATTTATTTTTTTTAAATTAAATTTGGTGGAGAACAAAAAGTGTTACGCAGTTATAATTATTATTCATCTCCAGAAAAAAAATCGCAGTTTTCACTGCTGGTGCCTTGTAGTTTCTAAACAAACAAACAAAAAAAAACCTGGGGACCTCATGAACCCTGAACAAATGTATCTGGTTTCTTATATTCAAAATGGATACCTTGCAGCTGGACATTCCCTCCTAGTAGCGCATCTTCAAAGATGCAACTATGTACGAATAGTGTGGACTGTGACCGCTGGTGCTCTGATGTGTCGTGAGCCTGAAACAGTCTGTCGGTGATGTGGTTTTTAGTGTTTATGGTTATTAAGAGGAAGAGATTTTAATTGGAGTATTCCTCTTGATTACTGATTCCACTTTGTATTGGATTTCACATGGATTGACCTTCCATTCACTGATTATGACTAGGACTTAATCTTTATAAAGATGAAATTAAATGATTTCTGCCACTATTATTCAAAATTTGAAGGCTGTAGGATTGGGGATTTTCTGACCTTGTGTTCACTTATATTATACCAATCCACATCAATTTTCTGGACCCCACTTCCATGAAGACTCCTCTCAAAGGCAGCTATTTAATAAAACTTAATTTTCTGTGCTGTTAGGTGATAATCCACAGTGGTTGAGTACAGGTAGGTGTCATAATCCTGACCATGGACACCGAGACAGTCCTGCAAGGTTTTATCTTAGGCCTCCTCCTCTGTCTTTTTTTTAATAATGGAATGGACGTCATGATGATTTCTCCCAGACAATCCCTCTAGATCTTCATATGCACAAGTGATCTCTTATGGCATTTTATCTGAACTTGAGGAAATGTCTTTGACCTATTCGTACCATGTTATATTAAAGCTGACATGCTGTGACATCTGTCTCATTTTCCAAAAGTTCTCAGATTAATTCATTAAAATTGATCAATCTGTCTTTCACTTTGGTCTAACAAACTTTTTTCGCAGCTTCCATCTGTCGGTTCATGTGTTTAGGCTTGATGCAATTTAAATAAATTTTGACTTTTAAAGTCTAACTGAAGAATACTTATCTATGTTCCATCAAGGACTCTTACTGAGGCTCCAATGTCCTACTGTTGCATTAGCTTTTCAAATTATTGATTATTATTGGATAAACTTTTAAAAAAGTTTACTATAGGTGGCTACGACACGGACGGAACTGGACGTGTGAAGGACTAGCTCCGTCGGACTGGGTACCTTAACAGCGTGTATCCACAGCATTGGACCGGGAAAAACGGCTGCCTCAGCTGCCAACTACCGGTGAATTACGATGTCGAGCAAATCAGCCAGAAAGCAGCGGCAAAAAGCCGCGGATCTGCAGATCGCGGCCCTCTCACCGTCGAGCAGACTGATCCAAGATGGCGCCGACGGGGTGCATTCACCAGCAACAGAATCAGAGGCAAGTGATGTAACCTCAGTATCTCGCCTCCAACACTTCCCCCACGCTGAGGGAGACATTAGAACCCTGCTGTATGACCTCAAACACACTATGAGAGCTGATTTTCAAAAGTTAGCGGCTGACATTAAGAGAGATGTACAGGCAATTGGGGACCGCACGGCCCATCTAGAAGACAAGATGGAGGAGGTCATAGAGGCACATAACACCCTGGCTGAGACCTATACCACGTTCAAATCTCAAATACAACAACTGGAGACAAAAGTGGTAGACCTAGAAGATAGAGCCCGTAGAAACAACATCCGCCTACGCGGCATCTCTGAGGAGGTTACACAACAGGACTTAAGAGGTTATGTCACCCAACTTTTTCAGGCACTGCTACCTGAGGCGTCGGAGCAGGAGCTACAGATAGATAGAGTACACAGGCTGCTGAAACCCAGAGGCCTGCCAGCGGCAGTACCTAGAGATACCATTGTCAGGGTGCACTTTTATACAGTAAAAGAGAGGCTGATGATGGCGGCGCGGGATGCGCGGAATCTGGGAGAACGCTTCAAGGAGATACAGCTATACACCGACCTATCACCAGCGACTATGGCTAAAAGAAGAGCTTTTGGCCCCATCACCAAAGCTCTGAGAGAGGCGTCCATACCGTACAAATGGGGCTTTCCGACGCGCCTAATCGCACGAAGAAATGGAGTGGAGAAGGTATTTCTTAACCCGGAAGACGGGAGGAACGGGCTAGCACAGTGGAGCATCTCATTGCCGCAGCCAGAGTCGGCGGAAAAGAACACCCCTGCACGCCCAACCAAACTGGCTGGAGACTGGCACAGAGTTGACGCAGCTAAGTGAACAGCATGCCATAAACTTTTTTTCTTACTGTCACTATTTCCTTCTTTCTCCTTGGACTGAGAGGGAAGGTGATTTAGATACTGGTTGTTATAAATATAACAGGTGAAGGAGTTAGCGCCCAAATAATAACAAAAAAAAATAAAAAATAAAAAAATAAAAAAATAAAAAAAAGCAAAAAAAAAATAAATAAAAAAAAAAATATATATATATATATATATGATTACAAATTGGGCAGTTTCAGCATATTCCCAGACGTTAATAGTATACATGTACTCATGCAAACAGATCTGTGGGCCGTACTACGAAGGGTGCAACACCGTGATACATAATGCCTGTCCTTTCCCTAATTTGACTTATGAAATTGGCATCTTTGTCTCGGTCTAAGGTTAACCCTGAGGATAAGGACAGTCCCCTGTGACATAGTATATTTGATAGATGGTACTATCCACCGTTCCACCCCCCAGTGGCCCGAGCCAGGCCACTACGACGTATGCAGTATACGTCACCAATACTAATTGCCTACCGTGTGCTCGGCACACGGTTCTCAGGCAACTGTATATAAGTTTCTTCTATTCTTTTGATCTTAAGTTCATATACTTTCATGTTTTTTTCTTTGTCTTGTTCGAGGGATTCATAATGCGGATATATAGGGAGACCTGTACCCAGAGCCCCGGGGAGGGGGTAACCGACAGGAGGACTGACTTAAGGGAGACTAGAATACAATCTAACAATCCTGGACAGCATAGTAGGTTGTATGTAAAATGGTGTTGACATTTATATCTTTGAACACTAAAGGGCTCAACTCCCCGAATAAACGGAGACTGGCACTATTGGAAGCGAAAAGGGCTAAAGCTCAAATTGCATTCTTCCAAGAAACGCACTTCCAATGGGGTAAAAGACCTAAATTTAACTCACCTCTCTATCCTTTAGACTTTCACTCCTGTTTCTCTAAAAAGAAGCGGGGAGTGTCGATCCTTATTGGGAAGGATGTGGCGTTTGAACTAGTAAAAAACGTACAGACAAACAGGGAAGATACTTAATTATACAATGTTTGCTGAATAATGCCCCATACACATTAATTAACGTCTATGGCCCTCATACAGCACAGGCCGCATTTCTCCTCAATATTTTTAATGCCATGGATGAAGGCAGACTGGGGGAGGTAGTGATAGGTGGGGACACGAATTTTATTCTAGATACTCAACTAGACACGTCTTCTTCGCACACAGTGAAAGCATCTACTGAAACAGGCAGGAAAACAACCTCCGGGCACATTAACCAACTTCTATTAGAGCAGAATTTTATAGACCCATGGAGGGTGACACATCCGCAAGAAAAGGATTTCACATTTCACTCAGTGGCACATAACTCGTACTCCCGAATAGACCGCTTCCTGATACCTACCTCCTTGATTAGCAACGTGGTCAACACAACTATAGGCCTTATAACGTGGTCGGACCATGCGCCGATCATTCTCCACTTGAATGAACAATTCCCTGCTAAAGGGAGAGGAACTTGGCGGCTTAACGAAAGCTTGCTCAACGACCCCAAAATATTAGAAGACCTACATAGGGAACTGGAGGTCTACTTTTCGACTAATTCTCAACCAAACACACCCACAGAAGTTATGTGGTTAGCCCATAAGGCATACATTAGGGGTGTATTAATTAAGCACGCGAGCAGGGCCAAATCGGCGCGTATAGCTAAATACATAAACCTCACCAGCCGCCTCACAACATTAAACACATGTAATAAACAAACACCCTCACAGACGCACCTTAGGGAGATTACAGAAGTACGTGCGCAATTACAAGAACTGGAAGTGGCTAAAACAAACTTTTTCCTAAGGCGTCTCAAAGCCAAATTCTATGAGCAAGGAAACAGGGCAGGGAAAGTACTTGCCTCCAGGCTTAAAAAACGTAACCTCGCAACTAAAATAGCTTACATTCACAACCCCCAGGGTCAGAAAATCGTAAACCCTGATAAAATAGTTCAGGAATTTGCTCAGTTTTACCACACACTCTATAATCTTAAAGAGGATAACCTGACACCCCAACCCACACAAGAACAGATAGACGAATTTCTAGGGAAGGTCCAGCTACCCTTGCTGCCCAATGATAAGATATCTGACCTTATTAAACCAATTTCCGTTGAGGAAGTTACACAAATGATCAAAGATTTACCCAATTCTAAATCGCCAGGACCAGATGGACTCTCCTCCATATACTATAAAACCTTCCAAACTGCTCTTACACCACACTTAATTTCTTTGTTTAACCAAGGTTTCACACAAGGTAAATTACCGGGTGAAATGCTACGAGCTCACATAGTCACTCTACCCAAACCAGGTAAAAAACCCACAGCATGCGCTAATTTCCGCCCGATATCCCTATTGAATATTGATACCAAATTATATGCAAAAATTCTGGCGACCAGACTCAAACATTTACTCCCCACTCTAATCCACTATAACCAATCTGGCTTTGTCAAAGGCAGACAGGGCTCAGACAATTCTAGGCTTCTTCTTAATGTCCTGGAGGGTCTCAACACTAACAAACTGGGAGGACTGTTGCTCGCATTAGATGCGGAAAAAGCCTTTGATAGGCTCAATTGGCTATACATGAAATCGGCACTAAACAAATTTGGCTTTCCTTCAGCATTCATAACAGCAATTATGGCCTTATATTCCTCCCCAGAAGCTAGTGTCACCAACGCAGGATTCGTTTCCACACCCTTTCCAATTTCGAACGGAACGAGACAGGGTTGTCCTTTGTCCCCCCTGCTTTTTATACTATGTCTAGAACCCTTAGCCCAGATCATTCGGCAGGACCCAAACATTCACGGAGTCACTGTCGGCGAACACCAATACAAACTCTCATTATTCGCGGATGACATTCTGCTGACACTGACGAGGCCAAAGATATCACTCCCAAACCTCATGCCCATCCTACAAACCTTTGGCTCTATCTCGTATTACAAACTTAATACGGCTAAGACCCAAGCCCTGCCTATTAATCTCCCCTTGCAGAATGCTGAGGAATTAAAAAAGACCTTCGATTTCGATTGGAGGACGGAGTCGGTAACCTATTTGGGAGTGCGAGTTGCCAAATCAATACATACTATATACAAACTAAACCATGTCCCTCTCTTAGAAATAATCCGTAAAGAGCTGAATTCATGGAAAGAAGTGATGATCTCATGGGCAGGAAGAATCAACGCGGTGAAAATGATGGCCCTACCTAAACTACTGTACTTATTTCGTATGCTACCGGTACCTATCCCACAAAGCTTTTGCAAGAAAGCCCAGTCCATTATTAATAACTTTATATGGGGAAACAAACGTGCGAGAGTAGCGAGTTCCACATTGTATAGACCATTCCAGATGGGAGGGATGGGGGTACCCCAGGTGGCCATGTATCACCTGGCGGCCATACTATCCCAAGCAGTAAATCTTCACGCAGACAAGGGACGACTACTTTGGGTCGACATGGAACGCAAACAATGGCCTAAGGAAACCCTCCTAGAGTATATGTGGTCCCCACCAGCTAAACGGGGGAAAGCACGTACACTCTTCTCTACAACGAAACTAACCATACACATATGGGATAGGTACAAGGCACTTCAAACTAAGACCTCCAGATTCCATAGACTGGCTCCACTGACCGCCATGTCCACAGTGTTACCATGGCTCCCACTATCCACATGGGCGAAAGCGGGCATCACTAGTATCTCCCAGTTACTCTCGGGTACGGGAATCACTCCTTTTGCCGACCTCCAACAGAAGTACAGTCTAGCCCCTAGATACATATTCCCTTACCTCCAAATTAAAAGTGCATTATTGGAGCATGTCGATAGGACCTTAGAGGGCAAGGCTGGAGAACCAAATCAGCAATGCGACCTGCTTATGTCATGTTGGAAATGTCCCCTTAGGCCTAAATTGCTCTCAAAGTGCTACAAAGCAATATCGAACTTCCCACTTTCCCCATCCCTGTCTTTTATGTCCCAATGGGAAAAAGAAAGCGGAACAACTCTCCTTCCCCACAAATGGCTAGCACTGGTTAATGCACTGACTGGTCACACTGCGTGCTACTCACACATAGAAGCTCACAGAAAGCTAATGTACCGATGGTATCTGACACCAGACAGGCTCAGCAAAATCTATCCAAACACCTCTGACCGATGTTGGAGGTGCCGAGCCCAAAGAGGCACGATGCTCCACATATGGTGGGGATGTGACCTTATTCAGCCATTGTGGTTGGTGGTCGCAAGATTGCTTAGCAACGTAGATATTATTCTCCCGCTGGAGTTTGGGTCCTGCCTTTGGTTGGACCTTCCCCCCAGCTGGACGAAGCAGGAGAGGGGACTGGCCGCACAGGTGATACTGGCGGCTAGGGCTCTCATAGCGCTCAATTGGAAATCAACCATTTGCCCGTCTGAAAAGAACCTCATGGACAAAATCCGACTAAATTATGTGTATGATATCTCTTCTGCGATAACTCCTAACCAAAAACATAAAATATCTAAAACCTGGGAACCTTGGTGTCGCCACTATCAATTTCAGCCTCCATAAAACCATCATCCGGCCTGAGACCCGGATCATACACACACCTGTTACTAACGGTATTATATTTCTAAAAAAAACAAAAAAAAACAGGGACTTTAGCGCAAGGAACGCCTTAGATCCCCCCCCCCTCGGCCTCCACCTAGATGCTGGATAGCAATCAGATTGTGTCTCCCTCACGTTAAATTGTTAAACTGTTTTCTGTTACACTATATTCTACCTTATTTTTTTCGGTTTCACTTTTTGTTTAGGAAGGTTCAGGCAGAGCATTACCTGGTCACCTGTGCAATACCTCACAGAATTCCACACCTCTCAGGGATACATAGGAGGCATTAGCAGAGTAGGCAGGGAGCCCCGTCCAGTGGAGGGGCAGTAAGACCTTAAAAGCAAGAAGACCAACCTTGAGCTTCCTTGATCCCCCCCCCAAACGCCCTACAAGGTTAAGGTATGCGACATACAAGCAGATCGCATAACAAATAGGCTAGAAATAACTAGAGCATCGCCCTCAGCGCACGCAAGAAGCTGATAGCTCCATGGCCTCATAGACGAGATACACTTAGAGGGTGAACAGTGGGGTATAGGTAGTGCCAGTTTTGACTTGGGATGAGCAGCAACTACTCTACGCCCAAACAACTGCGCACCTAGTTAGACGGTGATTAACATGAAATGTGAATGTCATTGTGATGTATCAGATTCTCTGTACTGTAACCCTGAACCCCTTACCCTACCCTTTTTTTCCTTCTGTACCCACTCCCTACTCTCCTTTGTGTCAAAAAAACCAATAAACTCAAATTTAAAAAAAAAAAAGTTTACTATATTGAACAGTATTTTAATATTTTTTTATATTTATGATTTTTTTTTTATATATATATTTTAATGTTTTGACAAAATAGTTTAAAAAGTTTTTCCAAAATAGCCAGGCATGCTATTTATTGTAATTACATCAATACATTACAAAGCACCTCTCAGCAGAAAAAATGTTCTGTGAGGCTACTGCCCAAACCCCTCAATGCAAATATCCTGCCTCTGCCTCTTGGTGGTATGTTTTCTTAGGAAGATTAGAACATGAATCATAATTCTGGTGGGCATGACTCAAATAGGGGGCAATATAAGAAGATTAATAAACAGTCAGGACTCTCCAGTGCATGTAGGAGTGATGACCAAAAATAGGACTTAGCCCATCACCAGATGGTTTTCCACTTGATAAAGCCCTCAAGGAGGAAAATGCACTTTGTTTTACTACTCATTGTTTAATAAAAGTATTTTTGGCTACTTTACTAATTTGAGTTAGCCTATATACTTTTTATTATTTTGTTACTTTTCATCTGTCACTGATCTTATCATCTGAAGCACCAGCATTACCCCCCATTCAAAAAATCCTTGGTGGAAATTGTTCCACCCACGCCTGGCTCAACGAGCGATTAGTCTGCTCTTTTTACTGTATGTACTTTTATACTTACCTGTATGGAGAGCACTATTGGTTTCCTTTTTAATTTCATATGTCCCATACCACCACTACCAAGCAGTGAAATTACCATTAGAAGGATATCCTACAAGTGGGGACTTTACACCACTATATGCTGTTTTACCTAGAGCTGGTCATAGCTCTATGAGATGTGAGTTGGTATTTTTATATCTCAATGTTGTCTGTAGCCCACCGTATTTGTCATATTGCACTATTGGTTCCTTCTGTCTTTTGTTTTCTTTCAGACGCTGACATTGATTGGCATTGCCTCAAAGACTTCATATGAAATATCTGAAGTAGTACTGTTTTTTTAGGTCTGTTTCATACCCTTGGTATTTCATTGGACATTATTTTATGTGGTTTCTTCTGTATAGCACCTTTTTTATTTGTACATTTTGGAGCTATTAGCATGTTATATTTGATATCTTGGCGCAACCTGTACTATGCTTAATGTAGTTCGGCCAAAGCTGGTGTGAGGACTCCTGTTTGTGTTCCACGGATGACAACTGTGGATCAGACCTACGCCAGCATTGAGTTCTGATATAACCTGCAACATGTATCTGGCATTTACATACTTGGTGAAACCCACTCTTGGTGAAAATTCCACTCAAGCAGAAATAAAAGCAGCTCTCACCAGAAAGTGCACTGATCCTGAACCGGACTTAAAGGAATGCCAGCTCTTCAGGCAGGAGCACCGTGACCAGACTCAAATGATTCAGATTGTTCAAACACCGCCGGCCGGCCAGGAAGCAGGTGCCTGTCCTTTTGTTTCTAGTGCTGCTGCTGAGGAACATTCTGGTTGTTCGTCTGGACCATCTTACTTGTGCAAAAGCCTAGACAATGCTAAGGAGTGTGAGGCTGTCAGTCGATGTTTGGAACATGTGTGGCATTAAAGACCTCTCCAATACAATTTCATGCATTAGGATATTCTATTCTAATGAGATTAGGTTCTTCTCACCCATCACACTTTTTAAGAATAAATTACTTTCTACAAAGAAAATTAAAAATGCGATCTTTAATCCCATTATTAATTAGTGAGCATGCACACATGACATCATACATGTGCACTTACATACTGCACATGTACACATACATTTTGACACATTAAAGGACCACTATAGTGCCAGGAAAACATACTTGTTTTCCTGGCACTATAGGGTCTCTAGGTCCCCCCCTCCTGCCGGGCTCTAGAGGGTGGAAGGGGTTAAATCTTACCTGTTTTCCCCCGCCGGGCTCCCTCGGCGCGGGGAACTCTCCTCCTCCTTTTCGCCGTCATTGGCTGCATGCGCGGCAAGAGCCGCACGCGCATTCAGCCAGTCCATAGGAAAGCATTCTCAATGCTTTCCTATGGACGCTGGCGTCTTATCACAGTGAGAAGCGCCTCTAGCGGCTGTCAATGAGACACCCACTAGAGGCTGGATTAACCAATAGGTAAACAGCAGTTTCTCTGAAACTACTATGTTTACAGTAGAGAGGGTTAATCCTAGATGGACCTGGCACCCAGACCACTTCATTAAGCTGAAGTGGTCTGGGTGCCCATAGTGGTCCTTTAAAAATATGTTTTAATGTATTTATCTTTTTTTTCTGATTGCAAAATAAATTATATATCCACCCAGTGTTTTTTTTTGTTGAAATCCTTGTCTTACCCCAGAGGAGCTGCCTTAATCTTAAATTGTTTAATGGTAAAAATATCCAGACAATACATAGAATGTGACAGCAGATAAGAACCATTCAGCCCATGTAGTCTGCCCAATATTCTAATACTTTCATTACTCCCTGGCCTTATCTTAAGTCTAGTATAACCTTATGCCTATCCCATGCATGCTTAAACTCCTTCACTGTGTTACCTCTACCACTTCAGCTGGACGGCTATTACATGCATCCACTACCCTCTCAGTAAAGTAATACTTCCTGATATTATTTTTAAACCTTTGCCCCTCTAATTTAAGACTATGTCCTCTTGTTGTGGTAGTTCTCCTTTTAAATATAGTCTCCTCCTTTACTGTGTTGATTCCCTTTCTATATTTAAATGTTTCTATCATATCCCCCCTGTCTCGTCTTTCCTCCAAGCTATACATGTTAAGATCCTTTAACCTTTCCTGGTAAGTTTTATCCCGCAATCCATGAACCAGTTTAGTAGCCCTTCTCTGAACCCTCTCTAAGGTATCAATATCCTTCTGAAGATACGGTCTCCAGTACTGTGTACAATACTCCAAGTGAGGTCTCACCAGTGTTCTGTACAATGGCATGAGCACTTCCCTCTTTCTACTGCTAATACCTCTCCCTATACAACCAAGCATTCTGCTAGCATTTCCTGCTGCTCTATTACATTGTCTGCCTACCTTTAAGTCATCAGAAATAATCACCCCTAAATCCCTTTCCTCATATGTTGAGGTTAGGACTCTATCAAATATTCTGTACTCTGCCCTTGGGTTTTTACGTCCAAGATGCATTATCTTGCACTTATCCACATTAAATGTCAGTTGCCACAACTCTGACCATTTTTCTAATTTACCCAAATCATTTGCCATTTGGCTTATGGAACATCAGATAGGGTACATACCAGTAAATAAACAACCACAATAAAATATAATTACGTTCCGCCTGTATCTGGAATTTATTTTGAGATAAGGCTCCGTATCAGATGCTTTTTTTCCCCCAACACCTTGCTTTGAACCTGCAAACTGACATCTAAACAAGTGCGTCTGTTGCCATTTGCAGCCATAGCAATTCATTACTTTGTTCCACCCTTTTCAAGCAGAGCATTGATTTTTTTTTTTCTGATTCAGATGAACCTATTACTAAGCTTCATATTTCAGAGCCGTATCTAATATCACTTGAGCACACGAGGAATTACTGATATTTACTTGTCCATCTCTTGAATGCAGAAGCGTAGCTGACATTAAGCCAACTCACTAAATGGAGCCTGTTTAATTAATTGGCGATGCTCAAGGTTGCTGGAAAGTCACAGTTCTTATAAAAGACACTCAGCAACTGGCCTGACATCAAGTAATGGGAGATGACGTCAGCCTTTAAAGAAATCCGTATATTACAAGGCATTTCTGTAGATCGATGTGTAGTGCTTGTTATTGAATGATTTGTAGGTAATTTGATTGTAACCCATTTAATGTCAGTTGAATAAGGTCTACTTATTAATGTATGCTTAAAGCTTTATCATATCCTTTGTTACTATATTCAGTACCAATCTGACATTGAGTTAAAGGATTACTCCAAGCAACATAACCACTACAGCCCAGTTCCCAGTAATGGTGCAAACAATTTAGCATTGCTTTGCCACCTTACCTGGGTACCTGCCAGATTTTGAGGTTCCCTGGCCATGTTTAGCAATGCTTTGCCGCCTTACCTGAATTCCCGCCGCGTTTTGATGTTCTCTAGCCATCTGGTGATGCGCTTTGGGCTTCTGCAGAGCTGCCGAAGCTACGACTGTCACTATTCATTGACTGAGAGCGTCCGTTGACTGATCTCGGCCAATGGCTGACATTCTGTGCAACGAAAATTGCACAGAATTGACACTAGCCAGCACGGACCTCTAATTCCAGGCTGGTTGATTACACCCCAATGACAATCCTGGAGATGGTCATGGTGCTTGGAAGAACCCTTTAAATAGTTATACTTTAAGGAGCATTTACTTCATTGGTGAGAATGAATCTGTTTTGGATCCAAAACGTCTATTTTCATTTGATATTTTATCTCCTTACAGAGGCAGCCGTGCTTTACTAAATAACCAAAGATAAAAATCTCTTTTGTAACAATTGTTGCAACACTGCAGTAAATACAAGGTGAAAATATTTTTAATAATTAATGTTGTATTTGACCGTTTCTCGTGCCTCTACCACACATACAGTATTTAGAGATCTAATTTTAGCTGTGAATAATCCCCACTGTTTATGACTCATTCAACTCTCCTCTATAATTTCCAACTATACATGCCTATGACATATTCTCTCAGCCCTGTGGTCTTGTTTACCTAGCTGCAAAGGAGACTATATTCCCCCTACTTTGTTTTTCTGAAACTTCTTTCTTAAACATCTCACAAATCCTGATATTTTTCGTACATCAATACTGATTCTGATTACTTTACCCCTCACCTAATATATCCCGTATGTCACTTCCTTGCAACACAGGTTGTAACAGCACATGAAAATGGTTGGGTAATTTTGAAATTCTCAAACTGGTTTTTACTTTGTTATTTAAGATAGTCTTATGGACATATCAAGCATGCTTGACGTAGTATACTGTACCAAGCATTTACTACGCTCTCTGTATTGTAGTATTTTTTACACATTACCCCTTCTGCACCCGCCTTCCGACTTTAAATCATGTTCAAATTCCTCCTGTATCTCACCATTTAATCTTTGCGTCGGAGGGTTTCCTACCTTCGTTGATATACATGTTTGGTGGTGGGATCCTACAACAAAGCAATTAACCATCTATTTAAAAATTATACTATGTATAGAGTTTGTAGTAAAGTAAAAGAAAATCCCTAATTAGTAAAAGGTTCAAAAAACTTTACCAAAACTAATTCAGTTAATATAATAATAAGATGTTATTAGAGGATTATCCAATGGTCATTTAAAGAGATACTCCAGATCTTTTAAAGCACACCAGCACTTTCTTTATGTAAGAAGAGTGTGTCCTCTTTTATTATATAATTTAACAAAATAGTATAATAGTTCAAGAGACATTGGCACTTTTATAAATTAACCTTGTAACACCCTTCGAGCTATCAATCAGACAACCAGTTCTGTTACTTCCTGATTTGTTTAGCTCACTGGAACTAAACTCAAGAGGAAGCTGTCACGCCAGGGGTGTATAATTCATTGTTGCACAATAGAATATTAATGTATTTTGTGTAGTGCATATATGAATTGCCCATGTGGTAAAGATCAGATGAGAGAAGGGGAGTATGAATTGCATAGGAATGTGAAAGGGATTAGATGGTTTACCATATGCATTGATCCTTTGATTAATCAAAAGCTCTGTAAGGTGTGAGAAGTCACACGTAAGTTGCCTGGAAGTCTGGCTCCAATGTAAACTAGCTGACTTCAGCCATATGGCATCTACCTTTTAATTGACGAGTGGATTTCTTTGATATGTTAATGATCATTAGCTTTCAAGAAAAGAGAAAAAACAAGCCTTGTGTTCCAGTATCGTATCCAAAAGAAATAAACATTAATATTTACCCACAGAATAATAATAAAGCCTCAATTTTGTTATATTTAGAATGTGACCAGCACAATCTTCTAATCAAGCTGAAACATGATTGGCGTAACTTAACCATAGAGGAAGGCACTGTGATGTCCGCTATATTGGGACACAAGTAAGATATGTGACATATCTATGGATTGGGAAAATGGTAACAAATTCATAGATGTATACATAAGAGGAGATAGAACCAATTGTTTCCATTTGGATTGATGTTGGTCTGGAACACAAGGGGGTGGTCACTTATAGTTACTATAGGTACGCCTTATCTCCACCTCTGAGCGGGGCTTGGTAATCCATAGGGTATATGTCATATGATTCTGAAATGTGTCTTTGTACTTGCTTGAGGGGCCAGAATCTAATTCTAAGTGAGTCACCATCTTGGTGACAGAAGTTTTTCTTTGAAAAGCTGAGTAAGTGATTAGGAATTCTGTTATTTTATGCCATTTATTTTTTTTATCTGTTGTTGGTGTAAATAATTTATCATTTATTTTTTTTGTATGCACCGTAAATATTTTTTGTTCATAATAAATATTCCTTTATTAAGTTCTGCCTTTGTCTGGTAAAGAATCACGTTACCTGAAGAGATTAATTCGTATTTTGCAATTACATAGATATTGTGCTAAGTTACATTTGGTGGGTTTTTACTATTAAATTACCTGGGGGACCAAGGCACCCCACTTATAAACTGTCTTGTTGGTGGCAACGTTAAAATAGTAATAGTTATATTATTATGTTTAAGTGTGGGTGGTATTAAGGGGGATTTTATCATTATTTCCAGTCTAATGCAGACAAATAGTGAACTTTAACCCTTTCACCACCACAGCTACATCACGCACACTCTTGAAGTAGCGTTCACGACAGAAGCAACTGCCCAGAGCACCTGCCTTGCAAAGACTTCTGGTAGAGCTGCATTGGGAAGTCTGTGATTGGACAGCCACAGAACGTCTGGACAAGGTTAGAAGAGGAGCATTTGCAAAGGCTTCAGGCAAGAGATCTGCATCTTTTGCCAGCTGTTTTAAGATATACCCCAATAAAAAATACATAATTAAATGTATCCATGTTTTCATTAAGTTATATCTACTAAATGGTGATTTAAAAAAAGAAAAATCTTTATTTGGTCAGTGGAGTGTCCCTTTAATCAGACTGAGTCAACAACGTTATTCCAATCTTTGCTCAAGATTTTAGGAGCAATCCTCAATAAAAGACAATATACCAAATGAAAACTCGGCACCCTGCTTAAAACACTCAAAGGGAAAGATATGATAAAAGGGCAATATTTATTATTTAGTAGTGCAATTAATTTTATAAAAGACTATTATAAAGAAGGACGTCCCTGTTTTCATAGTAGATGATAAAAAAAGCTTTTAAGATTCTAAGCCTTATTAGCAACACTAAAAACGTCATTTATAATTTTTTATTATGCAACGTGTAAAAGCGTGGTCTTCAATATTTTGGCAAAATGCAAATATTACTGAGAAAAAAAAAAGATGTGAAAATCACAAAAATGTGTATTCGTAAACATGTTAAATGTTTTTGTAATGGACACCTTGTGATTTATTCAGTAAATCAGGAATTGTAGAGAAGAGAACTGGAAACCTTTGGATTAACTGGGAAGAAAGCTGAAATAGGGTTTTGGATTCAATGAGTATCAGGCTCTGAGGGAGCCCAGGCTTATGTCAAATCACACAAAAATGGTTTGACACAAATCAGGTGATGGCCCTTAAGGACTCTTGGGACCATAACCAATACAGTGAGTTGTAATAGTTATGGTACTTAGCGTTCCAATTTAAATCCTAACAGTATAGCTAGTTATTGTAGATATGCACCTGGCTACACAAGTTATGTTTGCTTTCAAAATTGCAGAGGATTTTTAAAACCAAATACAGTTTCTTATCCACGCACGACGAAGATAGACAAACATGTCACATTGTTAGGTTCTTCCCACACAGGATTTTATCACGTTATAACTGTTATCAAAGCAGTATTGTCCACGTACATGTTTTTTGTAACGATGTGACCGATATTTAGGTAATGTGATTCATCTGGGGTAAGCAAAGAGTTGTGTGAGCCATAATGAATTTTCATGTATAGATCTAGTTAGGCTGTCTTTTTCTAAGCTGTTGCTACTCAGAGGGAGTTGATATGCACTACTATAATCGCTGTAGTTGTTCCTAATGGACTCGAGAAAAGCTGTACAGCAAATTGCTATTTATTCATATGTGCTCTTCGTAAGATCTCACACTGCGTAAAAAGAAAAAAAATGAAGATATGGGTGAACTAGAGTCTCTTAGTGGTGTTGGGAAATAAGTGAATCAAAGGCTGAACAGAATGTAGACTATTAACATATCACATAAGGTGCTACATGGTTAACTCACTAAACTGTAAGTTGTGTTAACCAGCCGACATACATTCCACAATCCACTGGACTGGTCTTTTAGTCCATCGTAGGTTTTCCAAGTCAGTTGTCAACTGAAGGAAAGAAAGATAAGTTACTAAAATTAAGGTGCTTCCTAGAGTATGTTACAATAGGTGCATGTAGGTCTGCACACATAGATAATCCCAAATAATCCACAGAAAAATTATGTATACGAAAAGAGTGCACATTTATTGATAAAAAAAAAAGGTATGCATATCAAAAAACCATGGTGTCATACTGTCACAGCAGCCCTCATAGATGCTAAAGGTAGTACAGGCATATCACACCAAACCATTGTAGTGCACTTAGATTACACAAATTTCCCAGCAAGAGAGAGAAAAAAAATTAAAATTATGTAACAAAAATATCAATTTGCCGTACTACCTGCAACTTCCAGACAGGGGAGAAACCACCCAGAAGACTACCCCGAAAAAGAGTGAGAAAACCCCAGGAGGCAGCGTTTCACACCCAGTTTCATGCCCG